CGTCCCCAAAATCGGTGTTTTGTGCAAATGGCACGCCAAGTGGCTAAAACACGCTCAGTAGTCCACGGATATCCGGCAACAATTGGGTGACGGTCACTCGAAAGGCAGTTAACTTTAACGTTAAAGCATGCGGGTATGAGGGCGAGCTTACAGCGCGGGCATGAACCGAAGTAAAGACACGACGACAACTCATGCAGGGAAAGCGGCAGTTGGGGTCATGCGTCTTGCGGTGTTTGAATAGTTCCGAAAGGGTTGAAAATCGCTCCTTGCAACCTAAAAAAAGAATAATAAAGGGTCATTATCCTTACCACCATTATCACCGCAAAAACGACTATTACTAGCATAGGTACTACCAAAAGCCAGTTAGTTAATATTGGCCCTATGATTGCTATTGCTGGCTAAACTAGTGCTATTACTATCATTACTACCTGCTAGTACCGATAAAACTACTCAAATTTCTGCTAATAAGATGAGTGATATCGCGATTATTCTTTTCTGTCCGGAGGAGGCAAATGCCAAGTCAGTCATAAGTTAAAAACTGGTATCAGGAAACAACCCAGTAACGCCAACGACCAGAAATCATCACTTTCAACGTGACAATTGAGTCTTCTTAGCAAAAGCCGCATTTTAGCAGATAGCTAATACTACTGCTACGCACATAAGAGTTACCTTTGCGCTTTAAAGTGTGAAAAATACATTAATAAGGGTCACACCAGAAAATATTACCGAGCAGTTATGTAAAATGGAGATTAACTGTTAGGAGCCGTCCTAGCTGACGCATGCAGATCCAGCGAGACCATTTTAGGTCACGCTATCGGTCCGCACACACAAGACCGCGCGCGCACGTGCAGCATTCAAGGCGCCGGGGTTACGCGAGGCTTTCGGGATAGGGATCAACCACCAATCAGATTACCAGTTGAGTCGCTACTTACTCAAGGACACAATCTCATTGGTCCAATCTTATAACCTTGCTTGCTTAAATATCCGCACTGGGGACACAATAAAGACTTCCTTTTCTTGCGACTCTGCTCCTTGTTCCACTTGGGGGATTGAAACAAAGCGTTTGGAGCGGGACAAATCTTAGATTTCGGCAGCATTACAACAGTAACTACTACATAAAAGTGCCGTGGGCAGAGAAGTTGTGCAGACAAATCAGTTTTACAGATTGATTTACAATTTTGTAGAAACAGCTGAATGTTTGCCCCTTGTATTGTGAAGAGAATTCCTGCTTCTGGTTGAACATTAAGGTTAGCGCGAACAAGTCAAAGAATAGCAAGAACTTGAAATCCCCGACCCACCCTCTTCTTCGCAACATATAGGCAGGAGGCCGTGTACGCGAACAAGGTGTTTTTTGTAGGCATCTCTACGTAGAAACTTCTGTCGACATTTCGGACAGGCTCTTCGCCTCGGCCGACCCGATGAGGCCTACAAGTAACAAAACATACATACTAGCAAACCTAGGAAAAAATAGCGCCAAAATTGAAGACCAGAAACATTTTCATATAGCATGTCTAAAACACCAAGTTCTGAGGGAGCGGAGTAGTAATGCTACCCGGCAAGAGTTTGTAGACAACCGCTTTGAAAAAAAAAACACGAGACAACGAGCGGCACAGAAAAGGCGACCGAGTGTAACAAATATTGTGAAGTGCGTACATCAAAATAAATCTTAAGCCAGCACTGCCACCTTCATCCAACCAGGTAGTTCTTCCGGGTAACACTACGATGATTACCATTAGATGGGGGAATTTGTGGCGGTTTTTGAATTAAGCAAACAATGGCAAAACAGCATGCACCTCTCTTTCTCTCCTCATAAGAAACACATTTTTGTGACAAGAAAAGGTTATGGGACTGATGACAGTTTGGACACGGTGGCCAAGTTGTCTAGACGTGGCGCAACACAGATGGTTCCACTCTGCTCATCAGACCGGGCTAAACACACACAAATTACGTGAGTAGGAGTACACAGTGGTTAATTCTTATTCGATTTCGTCCACCAGGAGAAACGGTCACCGAAGTATGCATTTGGCATAGTTTTAGTGCTGATTGGCAACATTCAGAAATGAGACAGGAGTAAAGCAAAGTGACCACCTGATGCAATCAGAGCTTTTATGCGACTGCTGATTTATCAAAGTAGGCAAGAGAATAGTCGTCTTTTATAGACGTTTCGAGGCAAGGCCTCAAATATACTAAAGGACAAAGTTGCAGTTTTATTAAAAGCAATAGGTCAAAGTATGAATTTACCTTATGCTTGGCCGCCGGCTGGTAATCCGATGAACTGGAGGATGCAGACGAGTCCGAACCGCCATCGTATTCATAAAGCGAGGATTCGTCATCATTGAGGGCATCTTCTTCGTATTGCTTACTTCGGGCACTATAAACGGTTTTATTTTCCGCCGAGTTGGGTTTTTTGGTCTCAGGAGCCCGAATGATGACTAGTGGTGTGGAGGCAGCCTCACACTGAATGACGATGATGGCCTTCTTTTTCTTCGAAATTGGCGGTGGTTCAGAGGCCGGAGAAGAGGAAACTCGAGACAAACGATCGGGTAACCTTTCGAGTCTAGAGGCTTCATGAGGGTCCGGAGTTGACGCACCATCAGATGACATAAACGGTGCCAAAACAGATTGTTCGGTAGATTGCATACATTGGGAGGATTTAGTAATGGATGAGTCACTGCTTCCAGTTAAAACCTCTAGCGGAGTTAATGAGGCAGCCGTCATCTGCATCCCATGCATTCAAACGCCGATATCAATGCTTGGTTAAAATGTCCTTAGAATGGGAGAGAGATTTTTTTAAAAAGGAATGCGATTTACTCGGATAGACGCATGGCGTAAAGGAACATAGAAATTCATCAGGTACAGAAACAAAGGACACTCTAAAATACGCCCATAGAAACATACATACTTAAATTCGACCAAGTAAATAAAACAACGACGTGAAGTCCTTAAAATAGAGATTGAGATGTGCCATATTGTAGTAATTTTGTGTAGTAAGCGGTGGATGGTTCAAAATTTAAAAAAATTAATGTAGGAAACAAATTCCACTACTGGTAGGAAATAGTTAAAAATAGCTTCATTTAGGCGATATTAATTGTCTGATTCACACGAAAAAGTATCAGTAGAAGTGAAAGGAAAACAAGTCTGTACTAATTATAAAGATTAACGATGCTGAGACAAAGTCGAGTTTTGCATGAAGGGACACATTTTACAGAGATGACGAGACAGAGGCAGGTTACTGTAGGCTGTTAGCTATGAATTTTACCCTTATAAAAACACGAGAACTTATTTTCCTTTTTGGCTTTCGACAACTTTCGGTCACCTGAAGCAGAAGAATTAACTCTTATATAGTTTCGTTCAAGCGAGGAAAGACAGTCAATATTATCAAGAAAAATCGATCTGGCAAATACAAATCCTGGAGAGAAAATAAAATAGTTCGAACGCAATGATAAAAGGCGTAGAAGTTGTCGTTTCCCGGTTAGTCAATGTCTAATTAACCTTGCACTAGAAGTGAGGATAGCATCAAAAATATTCAACCGACTTAATTATCAAGGTAGCCTAGAGTGACTACTCTTACCTTACTGAGAAGAAGTTAGAGAGGGTAGACGAAATAGGAATTAACTTGAGCTGATGAACTTCGCGACTCGGTTATTAGACTGTGATCAGAGGCGGAGGGGGGGCAAAAACGGAGAATTAAGCGTGATGTCTCTAGCTAGCAGCAACCCCCCTGGTATCCTGTAATACTGCTTGAGTCAAGCATTCTGATGAAGAATGGATAATATGAGATGAGGTCACGGATACGAATCTCGGGGGGGGGGGGTCAACACCCCCTGAGATTGGGTATGACTGGCTGATAGCGGTCAATAAATTGTCAATGCAAGCGAACATGTGAGTCCCAGGAACTAATTGAGAAGAAGAAGAAGAAAAAGAAGAAAAAGACTATGATGATGATGATGATGATGATGCAATCGCTGGGACAAGACTTTTATTCGCCTGACATTTTGAAGTCCTTTGCGGATGTTTCAGCAGAGACATTAGCATAAACAGTAGCAGTAACTGCTTTCTTTACTGCTTATGCTAATGTCTCTGATGAAAAAATCCGCGACGGACTTCGAAACTTCAGGCGAATAAAAGTCTTGTCCCAGCGATTGCATCTTCTTCTCAACGGCCAGTAAACCAGAAATGGCCCTTCCAGTCTCTCTTATCTTTGTCGGTTCCACTTTAATGGATAAAGTGCCGATTTTATCCATAGCACTTCTTAGGAGTGGACCAATCCTCCCTTCCTATGCATTACTGAATATGTTGCTTTTGTTGAAACGCATTCGTATTTGAGGAGCTAAAGCCATACAGAATATAGGATCGTAATGCTGATCTTACCATGCGCATCGTAAAAGAGCCCAGTCAACACCTTCCCTGTTTTAGGTTAATAAAAGACATTTTTTATGACGATAGAATGATGCAAGTTAACCGAATTAAATCCAGATGAGCAGCTTATTCGAATCGTGAGTTAGGTAGTTAGGCCATAACCGTCAGTAATGTGCCTTAAAGTTGAAAACCTGTATCTACTCATGACTATTAACATAGTTATTAGCACCTCGGCAGTTTACCTGCAGGAGCTAGTTAATAGAGCTTTAGCGAATGCTTGTCGCAAAATCTATGAGCTCTACAGCCTGGCGAACAGGGTGTTGCCGGAAAATCAAGACCAAAAGCCTGGAGCAGGGATAGAACGCATCGATCACCCACAAGATATCGAGATTTAATGAAAACGCTGACAGGCAGTTACCCCAAGCAACCATTAAATCGGTTGTTTTGTCAATACTACCCACTGGTTAAGCTCTGACTACTAAAAACTTGAGGCGCTCGTAAAGGACAAATAAAGTGGTTACGAGAGCCCTCCTCCACTAAAAACTAAATTGAATATAAAATATGTAAACCTAGAAGCACATTTCGGAATAAGGTTTATGTGGGGAATGACGTACTCAGCAAACCTATATTCAGTGCTTGGGGAATACAACAAAAAAGTTCGACTGCTCACTCCATAAAGAAAGCTGGTATAAGATACTGGAAGTGAAAACATTCGCGGACAGAAATGGCTACAACGATAAAATATGACTGTTTGCCGCCTGTCAGTCATAAGAAGCTCAGACTACGGCTACGTAACAGAAAATTTAGGTCATTTGAGTATACTTCTTGAGAAACCTCACCAAAAGAGAACAATAAGGAGAAAACACGCCCCAGGAGAACGATGGAAGTTTCATGACTGGAACTCTCTGTCATAACAGTTCACAATATGGATGCGCAAACAAACCGTCCGTTGAATGTGTTTGTACCACCGTAAAGCCAGACGTCACAGTCACATTATGCAACTTTGTAGGGTTATACACCCTTTCGCGTGCAGGTGGCTTACGACTCAAAAAACATATTCACACACGAATATGAACTACTTTTAAGTCGCAGTATTGGAGTAATTAACAAATAATTCTCGGCAAACAAATGGACTTAGTCAGTTAGCCTAATCGCGGGCAGCTGACAAAACCAAACGCATGAGACACAACATTAATACTAATTCATGGGTGAAAAATGCTCACTTATCAAGGATTAAAAACATCTCGATTGTTAAGGGATCCTGTTTGGACAGTTCATTAACTGGTTCATAATTGATTTACTTCCCAATTTTTAATAGAATGGGT